GAAAGATTGATTTAGATGACAGGAAGGCAGTCTTGAGTTAAAAACCGTTGGAAGGGGAAGAGCAATGACCCCGAGGAGTGGCAGGACCCGCTTTGTCCACTGCTTCCGCCTGGATTCCCACCTGGGAGTCGTTGTGTGATCCCACAAAAGGGGGGACACTACTATGGTTCTGTGCAAGAAGAGGAAAGTGGAAACCAGACATGTAGTTGCTGGTGCACCATTTTTCTTGGTGCAAAGGTTTGCCCAGATCTAAGCAGCTGTTCAGTCCAAACCACATGGTACATTTATTTTAAAACTGGGAGCCCAGATTTCCTAAAGGGTTTTGTCTTTGCTCTGTTGTAGTTGCCTTTAACAAGGAAAAAAAGAGCAAGGTTGATTTTAAATGGAAGCCTAAAGTCAGTGGGGAGAGAGGTAAGATTTAAGGCATTATGAGTAAGACCCTCACTTGTGAATTTAAGTGCCACACACACAAAAGGAGCAGTGCTTCAGTTGCACACCTTGACTTTTTTGACCTTCTCTGCAGATACTCCGGGCGGCTTTGCAGTCTTCTGCCACCATCAAGAAGAAGGAGGTCAGCTTTTTGATCTCCTCTTCAGCGGTTGGGGGACGGCAGAAGAGGCTAGAAATCACGATGGGAGGCGGCCGTTGCCAAGCCTGAATCCTCCCCCCACCCCACCCCCGGTGGGGCCTGAGCCTAAGAGCTCACCTTCACGTCCCGACCTGCCGTGTCCTCATCACAGGGCCTCCATCTCCGCCTCCCCCCAGGGCTCCCCCAGGGCTGGGCTCTGCAGGCATGCCGGCCCTTTGGGGCTGGCTCGGGCATTCCCCCTCCCCTCCTGTCCGGGCTCGCCCTCAGTGGCCATTTGGCCTCGGGCTGCAGGAGAGGCCTCTGCCTAGGTCCCACGCGGTGGGGCTTCTCAGGACTTATGTGGGCTCCTTATAAACCTGGCTCCGGCCCCCTTTTGAAACAGCACCAAACTGCTTTTCAAGCGCGGGTCCAGCGCCTTGCCCAAAGAGCTTTGGTCCTGCGGCTGGTTCGGTCGCCAGGCTCGCACTATAGCTTTCCCCGGCTGTGAAAAAGGGTTTCACGTGGCTATTCCTTTTATCCCCTTTGTTTCTTTGCTGGATCATTTTACCTTCCTGATTCTGGCTTTGGCAGCACCAGGTGCCATTATGAGGAGTGATGCCATTGGGCACAGGCCAGTCCCAGTCGCGAGTCCTCCGCCACCGTGCACCAGCTCCCGGTGCTCCTGGCCACAGGGACAGAACTGGGGTCCTTTGTCACCCCCCCCATCCCGGCCATTGCCACGTACAGATGGAACTCGCTTGTATCCAGCCACGGTCTCTCCGTTCACCCTGAACTCCTCCTCTGCATCTGCGGCCTGCCGGCCAGGGTATTTTTAAACGTGAGTTTAGTGCTCCTTCAGAAGAGCACTAGACCCACATTCAGAAATAGCCTGACAGGTCCCAACGTGAAGTGCCCCTGTGCTCACAGCCCACCAAAGTACTCAAAGTAACCCGTGGGTAAAAGTGCCATTCCAAGCACCACCGATGCTCACCCCCCCCCAACATGCCCGAGGGGTTAGTGGTTGGTCTTCCCACCTGCGGGTGACACTTGGCCGGAGGGGAAACAAAGCCAGAGGAATCCACCAATCGCTTTCCACGCTTTGTGACACATTTAATCTGTAAGGAAAGCAGTGACACAAATTTAATCAATAAAAATAAAATAAATAGAGGGCCAACTTTGTTCCTATGGCAGAACAGGGCTCAGAGCAGGGCAGCTGAAGTTCTTCTGCCGACTCAGACTGCACGGCAGCCACGTTAATGTGGCCACTTGGTTTTGCCCTAAAAGCAAACACTGACTGGAGGTACCACGTGGCAGCCCCCAGAAACTCTCACCTCTCTGCTTGCCATGTGGTTGGGCAGCGCAGCCCCGCTGTGCCCTAGACGGGGGGCTCTCCTGGCACCGGCCCCTCTCGCCTGGCGGTGGGCGCTTCCTTCTCCCTCCTCCCGGGAAGTGCCCTGGGCAGGACAACAGACGTGTGATGAGAGCGCTACCCTGCAGGGCTGTCAAAAGCCACTCTATCTAGTCAGAGTCTCTCCCAACTTGAGATGCACAGAGCATTGGCTTCTCTGTTATTTATTAAAATGATTTCTTACTGTAAGAAATGTATATCCCATGGTTTTAGCAACCCCAAGTGGTTTATAACCATTGTAAATCATTTCCATTAGAAATTTCATTGGCAGGATCTGACATTTATACATATGTTTTTTTCTCCCTTACACTGGAGTCAAATCACAGCTATGCTAAAATTAACCCTGGATTTCTCCATTGACGTCCCTGGGCACACCTGATTTCCTTTTTCAGAAGCTGCCGAATAAAATTTTTTCCCAGTGGCAGACAGGAGTAAGGGTGGGCGAAAGGTAAGTCTGTACCAACTCAGACTTTCAGATGTAAGGTGGCTTTGATCACGAACACAATGCCCCTGCCACCTATCCTTCTGAAATGAGGAAAGTTTGAGAAAAGGGTTGATTTTTGGGTTGAAGGGCCCTGAGTTCCACTCAGAGATTCCTGGGTTCTGAATGGTTTAATTCCAATGGGGGCCTTTTGCACCAGGTTCCAATCGGTGGTAGAACACAAGAATCTGGAAAAAGCCATGATAAACCCTGCAAGTCAGAAGCTGGATCCCCTTGATCCAGATAATCAACTGCATCTTGCAGGTTCTTATCCTTTTATCTCTTTGGAGCCAGCAGCTCACCACTGACGGTAACGCAAAACTGGTTCTTTCTAAATCTGCAGGATCTGGAAACGTCTCAGGGACGGAGGACGGAGACTCTGGCGCAGAGGGCGGAGGGAGGCTCTTTGGGTGCTGTGGGTGGACGGCCAGTCCAGGACCTGCTGGATTCGGAGGCCCGGTAATCTACCTCCCCGAACGCTGAGCCCTGCCGTGCTGAGGGCTGGTTCCCAGAGGCACCCCCAGCAGCTCAGGAACCGCGGGAGGGACCGCGTCCCACAACAGCCCAGGCACTCACCGTGGTCTTCACCAGCCCCCTGCTAAGAGCCGAAAGGCTGCCAGCCCGGTAAGGCCTCCACGGCTTCTTCTGGTGCTGAGTGGTCCGGGTGGTCCGGAGAGCTCCCGTGTCCCCCTCGCTGAGGTCGCCCTGTGGGATGGAGAGGCCATAGGGGCATGGACTGGAAGGGACCTCTGAGGTCATGTAGTCCAACCGCCGCTCAGCACAGGTTGCCGCAACGGTGTTAAGGTCTCTGACGTCACAGTGCCCAACGTCTCTACTTCTTAAAGAAGTGATTTGTTTTACGCCCTGTCGCCTTTCCTCCAGGAGCTCAAGGCAACGTGCCCAGGACTTCCTTCCCCCATTTCTCCTGTGACAACGGTCGTGTAAGGCCGGTTGGGCTGAGAGGAGGTCATCTGGAGAGCTTCGAACCCAAGTCTCCGATGTCCCTGCGGCTCTCTTAACCTCTTCACCACTCTCGCTCCCAATTTTCTTTTATTTTAAAAATAAAGAGAGGGTTGTAGTATTGTTATGGTTATTAATATTAATAGTAGTAGCGTGTTTATATCCATCAAGGAATAACACAGTACAAAGAGACAAAAACAATCACATTTTTTCCAGTGTTCTTTGGAAATTCAAGTTCCAGCCTATATTATTATTATTTGTTGCTGTTGTTGTTAAAAGCTGAACGGTGTAGTGAGAGATCAGATCCACATTCTCCTTGCTGTTAAGCGGGGTTAACCTGGGGAGGTTGACTGTCTCCCCAGAAACAGTTACTACCAAGCATCTCGAACGCGCAGCAACCGAAAGTTAACAGTGTTCATCAGAAACCAGCATTTCATGCATTCTACCTCCCCTCCAGCACGCCTGGAACTGAAATCACGCGCATTCATATTCTGTGCATTTAATGGAAGAAATGAAGGCACGTGGAGGCCTGGTGCTCATACTAAGGCTTGGCAAGTGCTCCCCTTGGTTGTGTCTTTCTGGGTGGGGTCCAGCACGTTGTGAGAACCCCCCCAACCCAGAAAAGGGCAAATTCAGTAACCGGGGTACAGATGGGCTGAGGATGCAGCCGATGAGGGGAGAAAAGTCCTCGGTCCCGTGTTCCCGCGCTCTGGATCGCACCAACCTGTGTCTGCCCGGGAGCCTCCGTGCCCTCTGCTCCACCCGGCAGCTCAGCGACAGCCACAAGAGCGCAGGCAGCCGCCAAGCCCCACAGCAGCTGGGAGCCCATCCCGGGGGGACTCACACGAGGGCCTCTCCAAGACCTCTGCTCTGGCCGGAGCATCCCCAGAGAGAGCCGGAGAGGAGGGGATGGGGAGGAGGTCTGGCCGGCCAGCCGGCCAGCTGTTAAAAATTAGCCAGCGTCCCAGAAGGAGGATGGGCTCGGGAGGCAGAGGAACCTGAGGGTGCTGCCTGTGGGGGTTCTCCATTTGACCTCCAGAAGCGAAAGGCCCGTGGGGGAGAAGGTGGCCCTGAGAGCAAGGTAATGGCGGGGGCAGACCAAGGAAGGGCAAACTCCAGAAACAGAAAGAAAGCGGCTGGCCCAGATCTTTGGCTGCCTGAGCGAGATAACGGGGCGCCGCTTCCCCGTGCCACGTGGCTGGCCAATTAATTGCCTGGAGGAGGGCAGGCAGGGGCCACCCCCAGGCAGCAGGTTGGCCGGAGCAGGCCGCCTGGGGTCGCTGCTCAGTGGGGTCAGGAGAGGTGGGGGAAGCTGCCACCACAACCCCCACCTCGCCCGTCTCTGCCTCCAAATGGCTGCCCCTCTCACGGGCTCCGGGGCTGGATGAGGGGTGGGATCGCAAAGGAGCGGAGCGAAGTTCTCCTCTGAAAGGAGGAGTGTAGCCGAGGGCCCGGGCAGAGCAGCCACAGCACGTGCCAGCACCGGCTGGCCTGAGACTGGATGATACTTGGATGAGACACCACCAGGAAACCCCAGGGCTGGAGGATAGACTGGGAAGTTGAAAGAAGATAACGGAGGAAGACCGCTTGCGTCCTGCTACAGAGAAAGCTACCTGGACACGTCCACCTGGGGGCCAGGAGTTGAGCTGCGCTTGAGGAAGACTTTGCTATGGCATGAGCAAGACAAACGCTGCCAGTGGGCAACGATGCTGCATTTCTTCAAAAAACGATCGCCCACCTAGACTATCAGCAGCCCAGAAGGCCTCCGGGCAGATGAGTTGGTTCTCAGCTTCCTCAACGAGTGTGGTCGACATTAGCCCCCATACCTGGAAAGCTGGTCTGGTCTCTTTTTTTATGTAGTTTTTCTCCAGCCATGCACGTGGATCGTTTCAGATCACGGACGTAGAGAAATGCTCAAGCCACGGAGAAGGAATGTGGGGAGAGACATCAGGCCAAGTCAGAGCAGGGCTCCCCACAGGTACTTCTGGAAGCTCTTGATGAAAAGGAGGCAGGAGGTGAATCTAAATATTTGTAAAATTTACTAGGGAAGGGGGAAAAACATTTCAAAATTTACGTTTTTATTTGTGCAATCCGTACATTCAGCACTGTTTGATTACAGAAGGCGTATGCTGCTTTGGGGTCCTGATCCTCTTCTGTACGTTCTTCACACTTGTCTTCTGAAGAGGAGACTCAGCTCTGCATTGAATATGAGAAGCAAAATGTGGAAACAGGCTTCAATTCTTGGTCCTGATCTCCAAGCTCAGACCCTGCAGGAGGAGAGGGGAAAGTTGGAAGGTGCCAGCCAGACCCGGAAAACACCCTGACTCGGGATGAGCTGCCCGCATCGTCTATCCTGCTTGTGGGTTGACTGCCTCATCCAGACAACTTACAGCTTAAAGAATCCAAGTTTGGTTCCTGACTGTTTTTATTGTTAGTCTTTCACACAATCGTGGTTTCCGTCTGCTGCAGAGCACAAGAGACTTTCACAATTGCACTTCTGCTCATGGGACGATGCTCCAGTTACTTATTTAAGTAGTGCAAAGTGAAACCCTGCAGTTTTCTCCAGGGATTGTGAAAGGGGTTAGAAGGGATTGTTCAGAAGACCCATTTACAAAATTCAGTTGGGAACAGGCCGTTTTTTAAAATCAAATTTATATCGCTGGCCATCCCACAGAAAAGTGACTCTAGGCAGCGCACAATACAACACAATCAAAACATTAAAACAATTAAAAGCAATATTATTAATAACAAGATAGCAGAGAAAAACCGATGTTAAAAACAGTGCAACCACCTCATTAGATCACCACCTCCTTGAGACCCCAGGCCTGCTGACATAGCCATGTTTGAGGGACTTCCAGAAGGATATCAAGGATGGGCCAGTCCCACCTCCGGGGGAAGCTGTGCCACGGGGCAGGCGCCGTGGCAGAAACGCCCGTCTCCTGAGTCCTGCTGGATGAAGCTCCTTCGCAGATGGGACAGACCTCTTCTGCCGGACTTGATGGGGCGGGCAGATGTGACTGGGTGGAGGGGGTCCCTCAAGTAACCCAGCCCCATGCCATGAAGGGCTTTACAGGTCAAAACCAGCACCCTGAATTGAACCTGGAAGCAAACTGGCAACCGGTGCAGCTTGTGGAGCAGAGGGGTAACATGTCCCGTTCTTGGGGCCCGCGCTGCCACATTCTGCACCCATTGAAGCTTCCGGATACTCTTCAAGGGCAGCCCCATGTAGAGCGCATTACATTAGTCCGCCAGGGAGGTGACCAGGGCATGAGCGACCGTGAGCAGAGCCTCCCAATCCAGGAACCGGCACAACTGGCACACAACACAAAGCTGTGCAAAGGCCCTCCTAGCCACGACTGGCACCTGGTCTTCAAGCAGGAGTCACGAGTCCAGGAGGACCCCCAGACTGCGCACAGGGCCTGTTTGGGGCAGTGCCACCCCATCCAACACCAAAGATGGCATCGTCCTGAGCCGGAGGGCCCCAAACCCAGAGCCACTCAGTCCTGGTAGGGCTCAGCTGAAGCCCGTCCAGACCCCCACGGCCTCTAGGCAGGGGATGGACATCAATAGCATTGCTTAATCAGCCAGGGGCAGAGAGGTGTAGCTGGGCATCATCAGCGTACCGATGATACCTCACCCCATGGCGACAGATGATCTCACCCGGCGGCTTCATGTAGTTGAACAGGAGGGGGGAAGAGGACCAAACCCTGCGGCACCCCACAAAGTAGGGGCCGAGGGTAGGATCTCCCCCCACATCAACACCAACTGGAACTGGCCCCAGAGGAAGCAGAAGAACCCACACAACACTGTCCCGCCCACCCCCAATCCCGGAGCTGATCCAGAAGGATGCCACGGCCGATGGCATCAAAGGCTGTTGAGAGGTCAAGCGGAGCAAGGACGGAGGCGTGGCCTCCATCCCACTCCCGCCAGAGGTCATCCAAAAGCGCAAGCAATGCGGTTTCTGTTCCACACCCAGGCCCGAATCCCGACTGAAGGGGCCCAGATAATCGCTCTAGACCTCTGACGTACCTGCATGCCAGGACTGACGGATATCAAATTGCCCCAGGGACTTGGGCATTCCCACGCCTGGTCTCAGCAGTAGGGAGTTGATGCTGCAGAAGTGAAGGTCAGAGAGCCAGGGGTGGGGTCAGCAGGGAGGGCCTCCAAAGGAGTCATGGGGGCTGGCCGGGACAAGGGTTGGGTTTGAAAATGCACCTTTCCTCATGGCACGTTTGGAGAAGACGTTCCCTGCAGAGACAACCCTTGCTTTGCCGGGAGGGCCATACTCAGGGGCGGTCAGAAAAGTGAGGGTGCTGGTTGTGACAGCACAGTCTGAGTCCTGCCCCTTTTGGCACACATAAAAAAGGGGTAGGGTTTCAATCGAGTTGTCATGACCCCCACCTTGACTTTTTTTGCACCCTCCAAGGATGCCCCAGCTTGGCTTCCCTGCCTGGATGTGGGTGAATTAAAAGTGTGGGGCTGAAACAGACACTCCGCTTGGCTGCTGAGGCTCCGCTGTCAGCTTTGAAAGGCTGGGCTGTGCACTTAGGGAAGGGATAAGAAGAAGAGAAGCCCCCAATGGCTGTACCGGTCGTGAGCGCCCATCGCCATTGCTCTCCCCTCCCTGCTCCGTCGTCGTGACTTCTGGGGCCACCTGCCTTCTGCTCACGCCGCCTCCTCGCTACTAAGCGGACGCAAAACAGCCCCCCAAACCGGCGCCCTTCCAGAGCAGAGCCGCTGCTGGGTTGCAAGAGGTCCTCTGATGGTGGACGCCTCATCTAGAAGAACTGCTTGCAGGGCGGAAAGTCTTTGGGCCAAAACAAGGGGCAAGCACGGACATGCTGCAAGCCCAGGGTCTCCCCCCGCGAACCCCCCAGCTCCAGTTCAGAACCTCTTCATTCCCAGACTTACCGTCAAATTCCTTAGTTTTTCCCAAAGGAGACTCAGAACCTCCTTGAGTGTTTCTGGACCTGAATCCTGCGGAAGGAGAGCACACCAGGAAGCCCCCAAAACAAAGACCCGCTACCGTAAGGCACGCGCCACGCTCACTAAGGACTGCTGAAGCGAGCCCTGCCGCAGGGCACTCAGGGACACCTGGCCAGCCCTCGTCTTCTGTCGTCCTGCATGGACGTCAGGTGGGTGCAGATCTGGGGCCCTGGAGTTCACACTGAGCAACAATTCTTTCATGGATCGCCTGACCCTCCTAAAACAGGGCCCCGTCTTTCCAGGTAAACTGAGGGAAGCAGGCTCTGCCACGTGCAGATCGGCTGGACCTTTGCTGAGCCCCAGAGTGACATCCCCATCCCCCCCGCCGCCTCTCCAGCCAGCTGCCTGTCCCCTAACTGGCCGGCCTCAGTCCTCATCCAAGGCTGATCTCTTGCCCGGTCTGCCAATCGGATTTCTGCAAAGGCTCGGAAGAGTGGCTTTAAAGAAGGAATCAGTGAATGAAAAATAAAAACCAGCGGATAACTAGGGCAACTTTTACTGTCCTAATCAACCTCAAGGGTCTTGGATTACAACACCCATACTTTACAGCAAAACTCTTCCCTTCACTACGACTGTAATAAAACAGCTGCGGGGGGCAGCTCTTGTTTTAACTAAGCAAGACAGCTGGAGGCCAGGACCATGGACCGAGCTGGATTAGGACCAAGGGAGGGGAGCGTTGCCGGTTCCTCTCCCTGCCTTTCCAGACGTACCTGTGCCGTATGCTCAGGAGTCAGCGAGTCGGAGTCAGGTTCCCATGGGACTGCAGGCTGGAAAAAGGAAGTGCGTCAGACAGACAGACAGGCAGACAGCAGAGCCACGGGCCCTCGGGCCAGGACCCCCAAGGGGCAAAAAGCGCTTGCTTAGCATGAGCAAGGACTGAAGAGATTGAAGCAATGAGAGTTACGGACTGTGGAAAACTCAGGCGAGTGTCAGTGGACACCCTGGATTCACAATGAACACGCAAAGGCTGTATTCTTGTAATCTGCCCAGCTTAAGCAGACTCGTTTTTACCAAGATGGAGCAGATGCGGCTTCAGAAGCTGGTGGGTTCCATCAGAATTCCACCTTTGGCTTTGGAGGGCAGGGGTTTCCCAGGTCATAAAAGTCAAGATGGCACCCACCACTATTTTTTAACTGTGCCACAGAGCTTTGATTGCACCATCATGGCCACCCTCGTGACATTTTTTACCATATCCTGCAGACATGGCTGCCTGAAAATGTGGCACCAGGGATTTGGGGAGGATGAAGAGATTTTTTTGGACTGAGATTTGGGATGGGGGATTAGGAGTTTTTGTAATGTGAAGGTGACCAGGGCGTTGATCCTGCAGCCAAAGGATCCCCTCAGATGCAGCCAGAACTGGGGTACCGGCCAAACCCAACAGCCCTCATTCCGCAGGTTCAAGATGGACTTGATCCTGGGGAATGGATCCTGCGCTCCCAAAGCAAATCCCTTCCACCTGAACAGTCAGGCTCAGGAATGATGCTGGGCACCAGGGGGGCACCTCACCAGCAGGACCCAGAATGGGCCTTGCTTGCCCTGCACCATATTCTAGGTAGTCGTTCACCTGGAAATTTGTGTCACCAATTGGGGAGTAGCATCCAGAGCAGTGACGCCAGCAACGAGAAAATCCATGTATCCTGGGTCGTACCTGGAAGCAGGAAGGGCAGCCTCGTTAGCAGCCGGCCGGAGCAGCTGAGGCACCTTTCGGGGTAGGGCAGCCTTCTCCAGTCCAGTGTCCTCCAGAGGTCTTCGACTACCACTCCCATCGTCTCCTTGGGCTGAGGTTAGTAGGACCAAGGAAGCCTCATTCTGGCTCAGCCCAAAAATGATGTTCATGGATTGAGTCAGAATGACATGCTACATGCAGGTTCACTGAGGTGTGGATAAAGCACTCTGCATCTACTGGCATATGTATGAAGAGTTAAAGAAAGAGAAAGCAGTTCAGCCTACGCTGCTGAAATTTTTCATTGCCTTTTCCCGTCAAGCTGGAACCAATTACCCTATTTCCCATAGAAATAAGTGAGAATTTGAATAACGCGATTATTGCGTGGGATTCATTAACCACACTAATTGAGATCTACCTGTAGCTCAGAGTGGTGAAAGAAGGAGCGGTCTCTGTCTGCAGAAGGAAACACCCTGTTGGGTCACCAGCCCGAAGAAGTTTCTCCCAGCCCTCCTACCCCCCAAAGGACTGGCGGTCAGCACTGCTTGCCACTGGACCATCCTGCAAATAAGGGCAGCTACCTTCATCCTGGGAGAGGGAACACATCGGAGTATTTGGATCTTCTCAGTAGCTTTGGGGACTATTGGTTGGGAGGGGATTTTGGAGAGTTGCTGGAGGCCCAGGAGACACCCCCGCCCACTGTATGTCATGAGAGTGCAAATCCCAAGGCCACTGTCTTTGCCCGCGTTTCTCCCCATGAAACGTAACTGTGAAGAGTGCAGAGCTCACCAGTTTTCTGGCTGTGGCCTCAACTGCCAGAGCCAAGATGACAGCCAGGATCAGCCAAAGGCTCTTCATGGTCAGCCGTATCCGCAGAATTAGAGGAGAATTAGAGACGCTTGACTGGAGAACCCGCTGTGATGTCTGCCCTTCTGTCACTGGACTTTGACTCTACTTTCCTGGAACTGTGTGTTTTTGGATAATCTGGATTGTTAGCATACGACAGAGCAATGGCCTTCAGCCTCTGATAAATGATTAGCAATTTTGAGAGACCTCCTAACGGCTTCCAGTGACTTGCTCCTCACAGTCCTTTCCCAGAAGCTACCAGGGGAGGGGGCATCCAGGTCATTGGTCTGGAAATTTAAGTGCTGCTTCCGTACTTCCTCAATTCCACACCAAACCTCGATCCACCTAAGTACCTACCTATCATGCTATTCCCTTTCAGGACAAACGACCTTTGGCAAAGCGAAGACAAAGAGGGAGAAGTAGTGGGCCAAAGAAACAAAAGGCAGGATATGAAATATATCTACACTCAGTTTATGCCAACCCCATTCACTGCACCTCTTTATCTCCAACAGAAGAGCATCTCTGTAGCTCAGGGTTGAACTGGGGAGTCCTTGGTGTTCTCTGGGCTTGGTGGTTTTCTTGCAGACGTTTCATGACCCGACTAGGTAACACCTTCAGTGCAAGCAAACCACCATGCTCAGAGCACCAGGAACCCCACCTCTTTATCTTTCTATCCTTGCAAACCATCCTTGCTTCCACCACATCCAGAGCACTTCTTCACAGACGGCCTTTTGTTCTTTAAGCGCCATCTCTTTGAGGACCTCCTCAACTGCATCCAGTCCTAACCTTCTGGGTCTTCCCAATCTTCTCAAGCAAGCCGAACCTTCTTCCAGTATTTGTTTTGCCATTCAGTTCTCATTCATGCTCAATATAAGAGCAAGCCAGCTCCATCTGTTCCTTTCGTGCCTGGCCACCTCCTTCTCCACTCAATCCACCGTCATTCTTGTCTTATCACATATGCTCCTTAAGTCTCCCACCCCCTCAGCACTCAGCTTCCTTTTACGTTCCCCCGGGTGCCCACCTCTCATTTCCATATGACAGTGAACAAAGCACCTTCTTAAGTATAGTCCTTTTCACTTCTTTCGGCAAATACATGTTCCTTGCAACGGATCATCTGCTACAAACTACCTTTCTAACAGCCTCCGTACAATCTAGTTTCTAGATTCGAGATCCTAGCTTGTGTAGAATAGCATGAACATGTTTGGAATAAAACTGGGCTTTGGTTTTGCACATAAAAAACAGGTAGAACTTCAGTCACATAATTGCAGGGTCACTGGGTTTTGACTGCAATGTTGGGGCCACCATCTTGATTTTTTTGACACGCACCCTCCCACAGATGCCCCTGACGATGTTGGCTGTATTGGCATTGGAGCTCAACAAACTCAACAGGCTGTATGTTTCCTGTCCCCAACTTTGAATAAACTTGGAGAATTTTACTTTGCATTCAAGCCTTGGATGGACACACTGCCGGCAAGACCACCATGCCTAATTTGCTTTACCGCTGGGACGAGAAAAGGGAAGGGCACCCAAGGCATATTTTGTTGCTCCTCACAGCTGCCCTGCCCAGAGGTGCAGCCTGGAGACCCTGCGTTGCTGGGAGAGCGGGGGGGCGAGTCCCCGGTTCCACGTGGATGGGCTGTCTGGAAAAGGGGAGCCCCCCGCAGCACTGACGGCTGCTTGCGTGAACTCTGCGTGACCCAAGGAGGACAGAAAGGAAACCTGGGTCCTCCGGCTGCCCAGTCCTTCGGCGGCCAGGAGAGCCTCGGACACGCAGCTAAGGATTGCTGAGGCCATTCCCACAGACGCGCTTACGGGGCACGCCAAGGCAGGGGTTTTGTCCACGGAAGGGCCAAAGAAGGAAAGAGGATGGAGACCTGACTTTATCCTGTCCTCTTCTTGTTCATCTCCCAGTGAATGATTTCCCGGTTTGCCTCCCAGTGGGCTCCAGTTTAGCCATAAACCTGGATAGCACAACATCTGCAAAGAGAACCAGCTCGACTTATTGGCTGGGTTCGCACAACTTGCCTGCCTGGCCTCAAGTGGACTCTGGGCAGTTTGAGGCTCGGGGAGTTGTGGGAATCCGGCCCTTATTTTAGCAGGTGGTGTGAACCAGCCGATCGCATCAAGCCATCAGCAGCTTATTTGTTTTAACATGGCAGCAACCATGGTTTGTTAATACAGATTAGGGGTTAACTGTGTCGTGTGGACCCAGCTTCTCTGCCGTTCTGGCAGATCCACATCTAAACAGAATCACAGAGTTGGAAAGGGCCTCAGAGGTCATCTGGTCCAACCCCTGGTCAGCGTGGGATCAGCTAAAGGGATCACCAAGAATCTCTTTAAGGAACAAGCCAGTGAAGACATTATTCATTCAGTTAGTAATTATATGCATTTTTTTACAATATGTAAATAGCACCCATGGGCCAGTCCAGGCCAAATCGATGGTAGGTGTGAAAGACTACCAATCTGGCCTCTCAATCCAAACTGGCCCAGTTTTTACATGCACACGTGCGCACACATACACAGAGAGAGAGAGAGAGAGAGAGAGAGAGAGAGTGCACTCTTTTTTCCTTTTCCTGTCTTTTCCTTTTATTGCTTTTTCTTTGGGGTTAAAAATCCACATATTGGATGAGTAAATCAGCACCTTGCCCGGCCTTGGGGTCCATGGGTCACTTGGGTTCCAGTCCCTGGATGGGGGCCCAGGAGAGCCAGCCACGTGGGCAGGCGGGGGAGCTAATCTCCTTCGCTGGACCTTCCCTCTGACTCCGAGTGGCTCTCGTTCCAGCTTGCATTTTTGCTCTCCTGGACAGGTGGAGCCAGAATCGTCAACCCAGAATAGCAGCCTCGGCAGATGGGCCTGATGCCAGCTCGCATCCTCCCTCTGCGCATGCCGACAGCTTCCCTTTTGGTCCTCGGGTCCGACTTCAGCTCGAGCTGCAGGAGGGAATGGAGACGGGTGGTGGCGCATCGGTCCTCCAGCCAGGCCAAGGGGCTCCCTCGAAGAAGCCCGCTGCTCCGCCCAGGCTCTCTCTGGCCATGACCCGCCCTCCTCCCAGCAGCCAGCTAGACTGGCATGAAGTGGGCCGCCCCACGCCCCACCCCTTTCCTGCCTCTGTGCCTCTGCTCCCAGTCCCTGCCAGCCCCATCTTCCCTCTAAGGTGAGGGGGCAAAGTCTTGCAGTCTTGGAATAAGGGGAAAAGAGGGTTTTCATATTTCTGGACACAGTATGCAAAGACATAGATCTCTGGAAAAGGCTCAGTTGCTGGAAAAGGTGGAAGGAAAGAAAAAGAGGAGGAGGACGAGGAGGAGGAGGAGGAGGAGGAGGAGGAGGACGAGGAGGAGGAGGAGGATCAACAGCATGGTGGATGGACTCAGTTACAGCGACTGTTGATGTACCATTGGAAGACCTGAAGAGTCAGATCAGGAACAGATTGTCATAGACAAAATCTATCTATGTGGTTGGTAAAAGTCAACACTAAGGGTCAATATTGTCTTGCTGGAATATAATCAATCAATTAATGCAAAAACCCACCTCCCTTTGAGAAGTCCATAATGCTGGTAAAGATGGAAGGAAAGAGAAGAAGTGGATGACCAGCAGAAGGTGGACGGACTCAGTTACAGGGGCAATGAGTGCACTGTTGGAAGACCTGAAGGACCAGGTTGGGGACAGACCTTCCTGGAGAAAATCTATGGAGTTGCCAGGAGTCGGCACCGACTTGATGGCACCTGATCAAGCAAGTATTTCACAGCAGGACGGTTAAGGATGACATAAGCCTGGCCCACTTGTGGGCTGCGGATGAGATGAAGGCAATGTCCGAGGACACGGGATGTGTGGGAACATAGGTTTCCAGGACAAAAAGGCCCATAATGCTTTCCACCCATCCTTCAATTGGGTTGGCACAAAATGTGTTCTCCCAGTGGGCAATCCCCACCTTCCTCAATTGCCCTGATTTTCCCTCAAGGGAATAGGTGTCAAAGCAGATTTTGTACCCCTTGAAGTGGAGCTGCCCTTGAACAATGTCCGAAGAAGTGGGGGAAACGGTACTTTACACCACTCCATTTAAGGACAACTTCAGCCTACTTTACTTGCAGGCTGGGAGGGAGAGGAAGATAACATCAAGAGGACACAGCAGGACAAGAGGTTGCCTAGGCACGTTGGTGCCATGTTTGGGGTCAAGTGGGGGGAGGCCCTAGAGAAGCCATTTCCTTACTGTTTGCTTCCTGACTCTGGCTCCTTCCAAGCGCAAGAGATGCTCCAAACATGGTCAGGTTCTCTTGGCAACCACGGGGCAAGTTACAGGAATCTCCACCCCATCTGTGGGATGCTGGGAATATCAAAACCTGGTTGGAAGGGAGGCAATGAATACTCTCGCCTTCCACCAATATTGACACAGTGCAGTTGGACAGCAGACATCTGTGCTTCTGGGAACATTTACAGGGGGATGTCAAAAAAGTCAAGATGGTGGCTGCGACTGTGTGATTGAAGCTTTATCCCTTTTTTATCCGTGTTGCACAGACACCCCCAATTCTGGAACTCCCTTGTATTATAAGCCCGTTTTGCACTTGAGAATCATAACAGTCTAGTTTAAAAGAGTTATGGGACAGCTGGCTGGGAATTCTGGCCCTTGTAGTCCCCCAATTTCTGGGGGGCACCAGGTGGGGGAGAGAGGACTGTCTGGCACTATCAATGTTAGGCAAGGGCACCCTTAGCATAAATAGCCTTCCTTCAAGTATTAACGTCTGCCCTATTGACTGACAACATGTGGCTGTTACTGGATGAGTGAAAGAAAAATGACCTCTGAGGGAATTGGCAAGCGCAGATCGAGAATTTAAGGCCGCCTTTAGATAACTCTCAGTCCAACTTCCTCCTGAAATGATCAGAGCTGCCATCTCATCAACCAGAGCCCATCCCTTCCTCCACTCATGTTTTCCCATTACTAATAAAAATGTGCTTCTACGATGGACAGGCATGTTTCTGGCTGCTAGCCTGATTGTGCAAATGTGCAAGAAGTAAAAATCCCTGCAGGATTGCACATACCTGTGGAGGCAGGGGAGAGGGTCCCTTCAGGTCCTCCCCCTTCTGCTTCTCCTCTGCTCGACATACCAGCTTGCTGGGTTCCAGGCTTGGCATGGTCAGAACATCCGTCCTGTTGAAAACAGGTTCCTCCGGCCGTCTAGGCTGCAGAAAGAAAGAGGAACATTAGTGGTCTAGGGAGCTTCACGATGCCACTTCCAACCGTTGGCTCATTTCGCTTTGCGGGCTTGTGGAACTGGGCTTCGTGCTAAAGGGTTCTTAAGCTGGGGCTAACAGATCTAAGTGCAGAAGCCATATAATTGGTAGAGAGCAGCAACAGGTAATAGTTTCCTGTATTTCTGGCTACCATCTAGCGGTCATTTTGCTTTGCACCCCAAATTTGGCAGCCCTGATCAAAGTAAGAGGGGGGTCCAAAATCTGCCAGGCAGGTTTGGGGCCAAACAGATCATCCACTTGGGCATGTGGTCTTATGGAAAGTAAGCTTCAAATAAGGGCTAAGAAAGGGGGCGCTTTTTACGTTCTTCACAGGCAGAATCTAGCAAAAAATAAAAGTAAAATTATGAAATCTACAAAAACTCTCCACCTGTACCCCCTTCTTCTCCTGGATGAAGTTTTGTGAAGAAGCTGCAGATTTAGAGAAAGGGATTTGGAGAAAGATGATGAACAAAAAGTGAAGCTGAAGCTCTGGAAAATATGGGAGGAGGTCCCCTGAATGGGTTAATGCTGCAAACTTTCCTCCGTTCATCCTATATTATTATGGTCCTTCAAATCAACCCTGACTCATGATGGCTAGAGGAACAAGTCCATGTAATATTCCCGACAACATTTTCAAAGCAATTTTCCATTGCCTTCTTCCTGGCACTGCCAGGGAGAGATTGGGCCAAAGTCCCCCAGCTGTCCTTGTGCCGAAGGCAGGACTGGAACTCTCAGTGTCACAGCTTCTAATCCAGCCACTTAAACCACTGTTCCAAATGGGCTCACTCATCTTTAATAGGTGTACATAAATGCAAATATTGCAAACATCACCCTCCAAGGGTTTCAGAGAAGAAAAAAAACAATTGAGAAAATGCACCC